GTAGCTTTTTCTCTGGTAATATTACACTAATAATTAGAGCATACAAAACATTTGCTAGACCAATCCTCGAATACAGCTCATCAGTCTGGAAACCACATTACGAATCTGATATTAACAGTTGAGAAAGTCCAGAAATACTTCACAAGAAGATTTCTCCACTCCTCTACTCGTTGCAGAATACCTTACGGCACCAGACTCGAAATTCTAGACCTAGACAACCTACAACTATGCCGCCTTCGGTCCGATCTAAGTATAGTATATAAAATCATACATTGTTAATGTCCTACCAATTAATACTTCAGCTTCAACCATAACAACACTAGAGCAAACAATAGATACAAACTCAAGGTTAATCGCACCAAACTTGATTGCAGGAAATACAACTTCAGCAACAGAGTGGTCAATGTCTGGAATACTCTACCTGACTCTGTGGTTTTTTCCCCCCAAACCCCAAAAACTTTAACCTTAGACTGTCTACTATTGACCTCACCCCTTTCCTAAGAGGTCTGTAGGGTGCGTGCATAAGTGCACCAACGTGCCTACCGTCCCTGTCCTATTGTTTCTTTTATTTTTCTTATATGTATCCCTGTATTCATAACTATGTTTTTACTTATGCCTATTATCTTGTAAGCAATTGACAAATATAAATAAATAAACAGCCTGGATTCCTCAATGCCTTCAAAGATGATGGCTTCGTCACTTGAGACTTTCAAGAAGAGATTGGATTGCCATTTGTCAGAAATGGTGCAGGTGTAGGGTCTCCTGCTTGGGCAGAGGGGCTGGACTAGATGACCTACAAGGGCCCTTCCAACTCTCTTAATCTGTAATCTGGAGCTTCTAATGTACAGCCTTTACTGGAAAAGAGATGCATCTGCTTTGAAAAGACCATGTTCAGCTGTATAGTGCAATCGAACAGCCCAGGAAATGTTTTACGACCTGTATTATGTCATAAACTGTTACAGCCCTTTGTTGAAGTGTATAACACAGACAAATGTTTTACGGCACAGGAAATGTTTTATGGCATTTTGCATTATGTCATAAACTGCGTTATGATAATGCTTATGTTATAAAATCAAATTTGCCAAATTTCAGTGCCACAAGGAGACATGAGACCTGGATTTTGGATACATCGTGTAAGCTACGCCATTTTAGTTAATTGGTTCAAAAAGTATTGCCCTATGAGTAAAAGTTAAAGGTTACAATAATCCGAATTTTACTAATTTATAGATGAAATAATATTTTGTTCAATTTGGGTTTAGCATGGCCTGTACTCAGAGCCTTTGTTATTTATGGTGGGATTCAGCCATTGTGTGTTGGCTTACTAATGATCCAGTGTCCTATAACCAAGTTAAAACATAGGGGGATGCATGGGTATAGCAGCTGTTACACTGGACTGAGAAAAATGGCCTTGCAGAAGGAAGTACCAAAGGTGCTTTTTCAAGAGGCAATTGGATTTCTCATTTTTCTTGTAAGATGTTTCGCTTCTCATCCAAGAAGCTTCTTCAGCTCCTTGAAGATGTTTTGCTTCTCATCCAGCTTCAGCTACTTGGATGAGAAGCAAAATGTCTTCAAAAGAAAACCAGAAAATCCAGTTGCCTCTTGAAAAAGCATCTTTGGGACAACCATGACCTGGATGAATGAGAATGTGTATAGACACTTGCAGAAGGATGTTGGGAGTTAAAGTATTTAGAGGGATTCAAAGTACACACCTCTATTTGATTTTGCTCATAGAACCTGTTTACTGCATATCCATGGAACTTGTGTGTCCTCTTCTAGATCAACACACAAACACACCAAGATATTCTTTTTATTAAATGAGGCATGGACACACACATGCTTGAACTATAGAGACAAGTCCCACTCAGAGTTTGGCAAGCTTGGCTTACAAAAGTTTCAAATCAAAGCAGCACACAGAAGAGGAGTCAGGATTATCAGCTGATCCAGGTTCAAAATCATATTTGTGGAATGGGAGTTAACAGGCAGTTGGAGAGCTTGTGCTTGTTGCTCAGTTTTAACAGAAGCAAGACCCCGTGTGGCTTGTTTAGCAGATGGGATTAGAGCACCTTTGCTCTACTCCTTGTAGCCCACCAAGCTCTTGCATTGGGAAGGGGCAGTAATTTCACACTACCTTCTTTAGAGGGCAAGAGCAGCTGTGTTTGCTGATAATAGATTGTTGTAATGACGAGGCAGTCGAGTTGTTTGATCATGAACAACTGAATCATGATGATCTTTATTGGAGTCTAGTCTTGCATTTATACACATTTTTAGTTATCCTCCATCACTGGTTAACTTTGGTTACTGCTTAACTTTCGTTACTGTTTAGCACAGTAATCCATACAATTAATTATCTCTAGTTAAAGTCTAACGTATGTTTACTTCCTCTCTCTAATCCTCCTTTAGTGACTTTGTTTACCTGAGTTGTATTTGCTTGGAAACATTCTATATCTGAGGTTTGCCATCCGAGATTGGAACATTCCTGCAATTACAACTCTACAATAGATCTGTCTGACTTCTTAGACAGCAGTCTGTCTGGTGGTGCTGGTATCTTGGTCATCTGTTGATCATTCTGGAGCTGGTCTTTACTGCTCATCTTCAGTTTTCTCCTCTGACTCCAAATCAGAGCCCATCATAACACATTGGGACCAAAGCAGCATTTTCAGAAGACTGCAAGGAAAACTTGTACAATATTGAGTAACACCAAAGAAAGAGAAGGCTGGGGCCACCCCTTGTGCTCTGTTGACCATCCATTAAAAAAATAAAAATAAAGTAGAACCTCTGGTCATGACCCTAATTCATTCCATAACTTTGGTTGCAATCCGATTCGGTTGTGACCCGAACCTTTAAACAAACACAGAGCAGCTAATTCTGAAGGGTCAAAAGTTTAAAGAAGCCGAATTAGGAAGCGTTTGGGTCATCAAATCGGGTTGCGATCAAAGTTATGGAATGAATTATAGTTGTGACCAGAGGCTCTACTGTAGGGTGACGTAATAGGTAGTTGGATGGAGACTAGAGTGTCTGATTTCTGCATCACTCATAATCTCTTATTTGAAAGTATTCAACAGGTTTGTTGTGAAAATAAAATGAGGGAAATTCAGTGAATACCAATCACCTCAAGGAACAAAATGGAAATATAGATGATAAATGTATTACCATAAATAATAAATAGATTGATATTTCAGAAAAGAAAGAGAAGGACCTAGAGTTTATGCCTTAGTGGAGGAATAATGACAGTCTGTGGGGCTACCTAACAGTCTCCAAGCCTCAATTTTTGTGGCTCCCAATGCACCTTCAAATTGTGTTACTGAAGTTTGACAACAATATGCTGATTTTAGTAGCATTAATAGCATTTTAATAGAAAATCCCTAACACCAATAGCAGGTATGAAAGCTAGCTGGAGACTTTGGGCCAATCACTCTGCCTCAACCCAAATCACCTCACAGGGTTATTGTTATGGGGAAAATGGGAAGAGGAAGGAGTATTAGATATATTTGCCACCTTGAGTTATTTACAAAAATAAAAACAAAATTAAAATATCTAAAGGAAAGTGTTTTAAGATTCCACTGCATTTAATATACCTTTTGTGCTCTATTTATTTATTTTTATTTATTTATTTATTAGATTTGTATTGCTGCCTATTTGCTAATTCTACAAATTATCCCAAATTTCACAAAATTGGAAAGATGAGTCCAAAATGTCTACCCACTTTTCAATAAAGTCACCATATCTCTGGTGAAGTCCTCTATGGTCAGCAGAAATGAAAAAGACAGTCTACTTCTGTATTAATGTATAAATTCAACTAAATCTCATGCAGGCAAGGGATAAAACCGGAGCTGGTACTAGTGGATAATCTACATGGAGCCTTAGTTGGAAGGACTGTTCCCCTTGCACACCCCTCTCAGAGCAGAGCTGTGACACATGAGTTCTGTTAAGTTCTGTTAGCTGCCCCCGGAAGCCCTGGTGCAATTCCTATAATTCGTTCAGATTACTTTTGGAGGTGGTCAGTGCTCCCCAGG